TTCAAAACAAAATCCACGTTCCATTTTACGCGTTTCGAAACGTAAATCCCCCAATTAATTGGTCCTTCGATCCCGATCGGCACTAAATTAAACATTTTCTCTTATTTAAAACCGAAATGAAGTCCATTTGAATTCGGTGCGACAGTAATTACACAGTTTACGACGTGCCAAAGCGCTTGGCGGCCATTTTGGCAAAATGGCGGCTCTCCCAGTGGATTTAAGCGGACACTGGTAGAACTTAAATGGCGAATGTTTCAAACTGAATTAAATTAATCAATGCATTAATTACTCGAGTTTCTTGGTTTCGGCTTTTGTTTGATTACGTTACGTGAGTCTGTGCGGATTAACGGCTATGTATTGGGGTGTTACTTTATTCAGATTGAAGGAAAATATGGTAGCGTTCAAAGTTGTGTGATTTAAAGAGATAATAAATTAAGGGCACGTTAAAATATCTACTATACAGTGTTGTACAAATGCATTTGCAACTAAGATGTACCTACTGTTTTTGTAAAACGTAATTTGATGTTGTTAAACTAAATTTAGGTGTAACAAAAAATACAATGATGTAAATACGGGTACAATAACATAAAAACACTTCCTACAGATTAAATATAACATAAAGTGGACTTACCCCGAAAGGGCCTGTATTCGCATAAATATTAAGGACACACACGTCCTTTCTTTTCGAAAATTTTGATGGGAATGACGACGGAACGAAGCAAAGTAATGACAAAGAAAAGGAATTAGAGATCCAAATTTCAAAAGTAAGTGGCCGGGAATCAGATTAGAGGTTGATAAAAAGTGAGACGGCAATGAAGGTGGTCGCATCGTCACCGGGAGAGGCCTATATCCATCAGTGGTCTGCGATAGACTGACGATGCGATAAACTGATGACCCAAAGTGGACACCTTGCCAATCTCCTCGTACCTCAGGGCGCGATCCGCTAAGCAGTTACCAACTTTTGACTGTATAATTGGATGCACCACAGGAAGAAAATCTTCAGATGAGTTAAATATATTTAGTGTGCTTTTTCGTTACTTTAATGTAGCATAGTTGAATACTAAAACTACTTCATCAAAATGCAACTTTTCTCCGGAAATGACAAATTACAGTTTCACGTAGTTTCAGTCGTATGAAACTACGTGAGTTACTTGCTTCTCTAAGCGATTATTTAATCTCCGCGTAGTGGTTATTCTTTCAAATAAAACCGAAAAAAAGTATAATCGGCGATTACTTCGCTACCGACGGTGATTGGAAAAAAATTCCTCTCTCAAATTGGATCTAAGTTGGCTTGGTTTGGCCCGAATACGAAAATAATGTGATCACTTCGCTCACTTCGCTCACTTGGCTCAGGTATTATTGCATCTTTGAGAAACGTTTACGCAGGGGTTCGGGAAGTATACAGACATTTGAAACCGAGTTATTATTTGAAGTGGATTCCGGAAAGTAGGTATAAAAGGGGAAAGAATGTTTATGTAAGCAATACTGTTGGTTGGAATTCTGCTTTATTTACTTAACAATAATATTAATAAAACGTTTATTTATCTCAACACATTAATTAATGAATATAAGCTACTTTACACAGAGTTTTGTAACAGACAATAGTGGTAGAAAATTAAAAGATCTCTAGGTCCGCAAAATGGCGGAGTGTTTTGCAGCGCCGCTGATATTTTGCTTTCCATGTAAAAAAAATGATAACTAAGATTTTCAGCATATTACTAAATACTTAGCACAAAATCGCGAGCCATTATATAAACATATGGGGTAAGTAATGGAACTTATGTTGCACATGCATAATTTGCATGCATTATAACTCAGAAAAAATATATACATTAATGTACAGCATTGGCACACAGGACGTTGTTTAAAAATTTAAGTATTTTGACTGTACCTTCCATGTTTATGAATTTTGTTAAATTTGTCAGATTATTTTTAAAAAATCAATAGAAATTAATCCACGCGCAAAAAGAAACTCAGGTTGTCGTCGAAAACGTACATGCTTTTGTATAATGACTGAATAGAAGAGCAACAACAACTGTAACAACTACCATCCTGTAAAAACCTATTAAATGCAAATAAACCTCGTTGCATTTCATTTGAAAGGTTCGAGTTTCATTTCCAATTATGAAATGGACAAGAAACGTCGAGCATGATGAAAAAACCAAAAACACAGACGTGTACCTTAAACCTTAGACTTAATTATTATTCGCTCTTGACCATTGACTTACAAATAAATGGACGACGGGTCTAATACAAAAACCACGAAAAAAATGTCCCAAGTGAACCTATTCGAAATTTAAATTGTAATGTCATCGCAGTATCGCGCTGTCAGTAGAACAAATGAAGACTAAAGCGGAGTGTCGCGCTCTGTATACGATTTTAGCGCCTTACAAGTGCGGACACTTTTTAGCGCGGACCCGACGTCCATATAATTGTAAGTCAATGCTCTTGACGAAGTAGTTAACAACATTCTAGTTTGAGACTATTTCTTCACCTACTTTATACGCCGTGGCACTTTTTGTATCTAGTCGAAATAACATAAATAAATATTCTTCATCTATTTCACACTTATATTAAACTTACCACTTCCTTAGGCTGGTCTTCCTCGGTAGTTTCAATATCGACGCTCTCGTCGCTGTCGCGGTCACTCTTCGTCGAACGAGCGGGCGATGAGCGGAGTGACGAGCGGAGTGGCGAGCGGGGCGATAAGCGGATAGGCGATCGGAGCGGGGAGCGGGTCGGCGTGCGGCTTTGTCGCGGTGGTGTGGCTATTGGTGACCTACAGTTGTTTAGTAATGTATAATATTCTTCAAATTTAAACTTACTTTCACAATGTTTAATTTTCCGAAAGTTGAGCATTTCTTTATAAAACATTGATTTACAGGATGTTAATCTATTTAACATAATATCTATTTTTTACGCTTTATATACTGTAAAAAAAAACAAATTCTCTTTATGAGCTCTGCCGCATTAAATAAGAAAAGTTAGTAAAAATAAGTTAATAGTGGTTGTTATAGTAGATGCATTAACCTTTTTTTATATTTTCTAGTCATAAAGGTTGTTTCAGAAAAGATTAAGCATCTAATACTCTTAAAAAGTATACCAACCTGGTGGGCGATCGTGAAACAGTCATGACGGGAGACAGCTGTGGGGATTCAAGCCTCCCCCGGACCGGCCTGAACGCCCTGGGTTCCTCAATAGCGCTCACGCCACTCAGCGCTGACAGAGCACCTGACATATTTTTAAACCTTTAAAAAGTCGTGACAAGCCGTGATGACAATCGACACATCTACCCATAACAGTTGCAGCACCACTCACAGCGTTGAATCGCAAAGAGCTAAAGGGAACTGCCATTGCTCCTGAGTTGAAGTTGTCAAGTTCCTTGTGTCTGTAGTTTCACATTACTGCTTGGCAACAGAAATAGGTACAGAGTGGTAGTCTACTCCACTGCTACTTTTCTTATGATACCACGACGGGACGAAGAAGTCATGCACCTGGTGCTATGCGACTAATCGATATTTTCTCCGGTTATATTACCTGGTGTCCATAACGAAGGTTTCAGCCAAGGTATAGCGTAAGGTAGAGGCAACCGTGCCCCCCATACGTAGTCAGCCAGTCGTGGAACGGGGGCATGGGCCGTCGGCGGGCTAGCTGCCTGTCTTTTGGCCTCTACGGGCTCCGGTTCCGGCCTGCGGAGCGGGACTCTTCTGTGGCACAATTTTAGGCTGAACTTTGAACACAGATTGACTTAGCAATAAAGATTCCAGAATAAGAAACATCATAACATCAAACCCAAAGCACCTATCGACATCATTTGAATTTCGCAAGTAATTTGAACATCATATAGCATAATAAGTTACTGAATTGTATGTATAAGACAAGCATACAAGATCCAGCTGCATACGGCTTCAAGTCTATATATATACTATAAGTTCATGGTTACTAACATCCTGAAGTCAAGAGTACAAAATAAGTAATTAACACTTTTTGGCTATCAATTTTAGATTCTCGCCTGTCCCATGACTTGAAAGGCAAATTTTAATTTCGAAATCGGAGAGACACTATTCTCTGGCAACGGCACGGTCTGCCTGGGTCACGGAGTCAGGTTTAAAAACAAGCAAACAATACATAAAACCCTGGACTTATGTACATTACTGTAGAAAATTCGTTTCTGATACATCTTGATTTCTTACCGAGCAGCAGATAACATTCTCTTCCTGGTTCCACCGTTAAACATAGCCTTCACGTCTTCCCAAGCATGGACGACTTCCTCAGGGGGCGTCCCACTAAGCTTCATGTGCCGTCGCCAAGAGTTGAAGTTGGCAGCATCGGGCTGCACGTACTTGTCACCAGGACCGACGCGGTGCGAGTGGAAGATGAATTTGTTGGGCGAGAAAAAGAGGCCGCAGTACGCGCACTTGATGCATTTTGCTCTAGATGAATTGTACCTGAGTAGAGAATTTGTGTTAGTCGAAAACCGCACATGTTCTCGCCGTAGCGATAGATCGGTCAAATAAGGCGGGTTAATAACATAGTATAATAGACAAATAGGCTTGCATGTGTGCGAGTCCGCCACGCGCCATGGCTCATGTACTGACGCACACATTTGTATAATCTCGCGGCGCTCTCGAATTGCATAGCGCGGGTTGCCACAACTACTGTTCATTGTAGAATTGAAGCATTCGCTCCTCGATGTTTCAAATATTTTCCAGGGTCAAATTTATATTTTTTTATTTATATATTTTATGGACAACAAAACAGACATAACATTGATAAGAGTTAAATATGATATTACAATTTTCAGTACCAGATTGTAATCCTATGTATGTTGGACATATCAATGTAAAGTAACAAGTAATATATATTTTTTCTTAATGTCCTAATAATTTGCTTATTTACTTAATAAAAAGGTGACATGGGTACCTATTGGTGAATCTGAGTACCTATGTAAGTGCTTTTTCTTTTGGTTTTTTTTTAACGCACACTCTCATAGCATTGCACTTATATACATAGGGAAACCCTGTATCGCGGATGCCTTGGACACATAGACACATAACAACGGATTAAAGATTAACTTTGTTTAACAATTTTCTCCACATTTTTGTGCTCAGGACCAAAAGGTCGACAAAGTCAGGTATCTTGTGTATATGACTGTACAAACTTTCAGTTTATTTCTATCTCATGATCATACTTCCATTACTGAGATAGGTACAGGCTCAAGAGCACGTCAAGCTTGACACTTGAGACTTAAATCTAACTCTATCCCGCTTACGATAAGAACGGTCCAAAGTACAAACTGTCAAGCTTGAGGTGCTCTTGACTATACTAATCCGAGATGCTGGTATAAAAATATCTATATGTAAGTACTGTATTTGACAAAGGTTTTTTCAATACAGCACGAGAATATCATCATGAACACCTTAACTTTTTCAAATTGTGTTTACAACCTGTAGGTAACCTGGAAAACAGTGTTAGCTTAGGTTAGTGGTTAGTGTAGACGAGACTTTAGAAAGTGACGTTGCTAGTGCAGTGTGTAATCTTGCGTATGACTTTAATAAAGAGTGGATCAAACGAGGATAGTTGCTCGCCGCTGTTGATGGGAATAGACCTGATTATTAATTCTATCAAACACATTGAAAAATTTGTTCGACCCGGTGGGACTTCGACTACCGAAAGTCAGTACAAAGATCCATAACAAAAGCACTTAGGTGGTTTTCGACCACTCGGTAACTTGACCTGTGGGGCAGTTGGTAAGAGCAATGCTATGGGTGCAGCATGGTGGTGGGTTCAAGTTCCACCGGGTCGAGAAAATTTTTGTATGTGTTCCATCTTTGCATTAATAATCATAACAAAAGTAGAGGAGTTAATTCACAAAATATCTCAAATAATACCTCTAGGTACAACTAAAATAATAAATGTGACAACCCTACTCTCCGAACGATGCGCGGAACAGGCGGGAGTTACACTTCTTATCTTATTATACTATGAAAAACGCTCACTTACCTCGCTGGCAAGAAAGCTCCTCGACATCCCCAAGCGCACTCATGATGAACAGCAAATGCGAAGTCGTCAGGCAACCGCGGAGGGGCGTTATCTCCCAAAAAAGACTTGCATAGGCGTTCCGCTTCACGACGAGTAATCATACCTGAACGAAAATTCAAAAAGAAATAAAAAAATTGTCGTGAGAAATTACAACGACAACACGGAACTGTAGTATCAGAATTAGCTAACAACAGGCTTATATAAATGGTGTGATTAGGTGCCAGAGGTAAAAAGACGTAGCACGGCTCTACATTACACTCACGTACTCGTAATACGAGCCACCTTACGTTTTCAGTATTAAATACCCTGAGCTTAAACTATATTTTATTGATCTAAAACTATTGTGCAATTATGAAGCTGTCGTGCTAAATGTTGTCCTTGTTGGAAATTTGCATTTAAAAAACTATGGAAAAATTTTTCTTCGATAATACCAATATTATTGTATTACCTTGGGTAGTAGCCCTTTAAGAATAAAAATGCAAGGTGGTTCGAATTGTGCTCCTCATTTTTTCGATACCTTCAATGGACACTACGCCAACTTAATTTTTGGACCTGTTCTGTTTTTATTTTGTTTCTTGTTTCTTTATTTTTTCACAATACTTCGTTGTTTTTTTCGAATTTACTTTTTGTATCTCTTTTTGTAGTCTTTTTTTCACAAACTTTAGAGTGCATAATAGTAGTATATTTATGGCCTTACCAAAATAACAGAAAATTACCAGAAAATATAGCTGCGTAGTGTCCTTTTGAAGTTAAATACAGTTTATTTTTAACTTAGAAACTGAGAACGGACATAAATATCACAGCATTTGTGCCAACAATATTTTTCATAAAGGTATAACTTACCACAACGTCTGGAAGATACAGGCATAGCCCCAGCTCTCCTCAAGATCTCCAGCTGTACAGGTGTGCATTGCACGCAGGTGATGCCCAAGGCCACCCGCCGGTTATGAATCTCGTTGTAGGAGAACTGCTTTAGCAGTGTATTAGATATTTGGGCCAGACAGAGTCGTTCGACCCCTTCGATAACTAGTGCTACGATAGGTACCCCGTATAGGAGCACCGAGCTGACCTGATAGGATATAACAATTGCTTTTCATGTTGTTATTAGTTTCTTGGAGCCTTTTCACACTGGCCTTTTGCGAGGGATTGGACAGCGCCCCGAGCACGCTGCGTGTTCGCCGCGTGCACGCAGCGCTAACGCCGCGATCCCTTGGCGATTTTAAAGCGATGTCAGCTCTCAAATCGCCAAGTGGCCACGCGGCGTTATCACCGCGCTGTCGCATCACGATTTGAAAGCGATGTGACAGGGGATGTGTAAGCTTATTAAAATGATACTCATATTCGTACCATTACAAACCTATAAACCAAGTAATGTATTATTGCTAAAGTGACTGAAAGAACGAATGGTTCTCCAATATTGTCTATTCCTTACTAAAAATAGGAAAGAAATAACGCTATATGAACTGTATAATGCCATCTCATTCTTTTTTGATGTTCCGAATCGTCCTATCGTAGTATTATGTTAAAGTACTTAGTATTATTTACATTTTGAGAATTTAAACTGCCAAAAAAGAAAAGTATGTAATAATGAAATCTATTAAAATTACGTTGTTTTCAATTATTTTTCAGCATTCTCATGAAGAAAAATAAAACAAGCTGAGTCTTGATTGTCACGTTGTGAATTCGGAATTATAGTCAAGTGTCAACTGTTAATGTCGCCAAGGAGCATATAGATGTCGCCGTCATGATTTTACGAAATAAACATCGCGTAATTTTATTTAACGAGAAAATATTTTCTATGTACTATTCAATAAAAAATAAACAAATAAGTTCAACTTAAACTTTTAATCATTACGAATCAATATTAAGACAATGAAACTGAAAATAATATTGTTTCATGAATAATATATGAATAAGGAATAATAAGTGAATAAGGATTCCATTGAATCCTTGTAATTATTTTAAGATTGCTAAATTTGACATAAGAGTAATAATACTTTAATATTAAAGTCGCATCATAGTACGAACTGAGTGAATGAATAGTCACAAAACTGCCAATAAAACATAGTTTAGTCATAGTTTTAACATTATAGTAAGCTTACTTTAAGCGCGTCACATTACGAAAAGGCAATTTAAGGTTAAAGTAATATTGTTTTAAGAGGTTGTGGTAGGCCCCCAGCTCTCAAATCGCCAAGCGGCCGCGGCGTTGTCACTGCGTGCACGCCGCGGTGTTGCGTCACTCGTAAACCGCCAGTGTGATGAGGCTCTTATTCTTGATTGTGTTTTTTTGTACTAATTGACTAAGGAGTACGATTTTAGCCAGTCTTCTCCACGAATCGTCCTAGGTCTACCTTTTTTCATATCTTGGAGCTGTAGTTCGTGTCAATCTCGTGCTACCGACATTCATTGGAAAAGAAATTTATACGATGCGTGGAGAATGCTCGTTTTGAAAGCTGAGTATGAATGTAAGTTTTGCCATAGCATAATAAGTGTAATCGGAATTGATGGAGTTAATTTAGCTAAAGTAAAGAATACTATTACTAAAATATATGTGACGGCCCTACGCTAAAAGCGTACAGGTGTAGTTTATTAACAGGCGGGAGTTGGACTACTTGTTTTACTATACTGCGGTCTTAAATTACGAAAATGTGGATTAGGGCAGTTAGTAAGAGAGGCACATGAGTGGATGATTATTATTTTGCTTCATTTACCTGGTTGGGTTTGCTGGTTAACTGCATGGCTTTGTGTTCGGACCGAGGCTTCAGGGATTCCCGTGGCGAGAGAGCCAGATTTGTCGCTTCCATCCTTTGGAAAACATATTTATTATTATTACTTTGGTATCATTTCAGATTCTCGAGGTCTGGTACTCAAGTTCAAGAACCAGCGAAGGATACGTGCCCAATTGAGCTACGCCGTTTTCTGCATTTGCAATCTATATGCCACAGGAATCCAAAATAATTGCGAACAAAATTGAGATAGATTTTTGTATGATACCTAGTGACCGGATGAAGAAATTGTGCTATCAGGCGGTAGTGACAGACACGCCCATCCATAGCAATTGCTGGGCCACTTAGAGCTTTATCGCAATGATCTGAGGGGCGGACGGAGTAGCAGTACTCCGTCCGTCACTATTTCTACATAATAAATGTGATACTAAATTGAATTTTAATTGTATAATAACGAATTTCGTAACCGACTGTCTAACAGCAATTTTTTTTTAAACTTTGCGCTTACAATATTTTTGTTGACTCTATTTAAAGGTTTTTTTTATTATACCAAGTGACAAGGCGAACTAGTCGTGCGCTTGGTGGTAAGCGACACGCCTGTCCATAAAATTTACAGTGCCACTCAAAGCTTTAAATCGCAAAAGTCCAAGGGGAACTGCCACTGCGCCCGTCACCCTGAAACATAAGGTGACAAGTTCCATGTGCCTGTAATTTCACCAGCACTACTAGACTAGATTTAGAGACATGTGTCTGTATTGGACCCGTAATGCTGTGATGAAATTTACTCTGCACATATCGGCACTGTCATACCGTAGAATCCTAAGAGGCTGCAACGTTTTGTACCAAATGCTTATACTACACGATCTATCATCAAAACACTCTTTCCAGATGTGGCTATACCATTTTCAAATAACCATAGTGATTCGAAGCCTCACTTGGCGTGCCACCTCTTTGTTGGCGGCGGAAATCTAACTCTACAATACTCTAAATGCTTACATAATCTTTCTACATCTGCAATAATTTCTCAATACATTAAACAAACGAACGGTAATATAACAAAACGACTTAATTTACTGTTACCGCGCCATAAACCCGCACAGTGGTGCGTCGGCCACACAAATTGGGACAAAAGCGCAAAAGCGATCGTTTGGGCAAATAAGCTGTTTGCGTGAGAACACTGTATCGAATATCAATTGAGAGGGTGCGAGGGTGTGCCCCTTGCGAGGGATGTTTTATTCAATGTGTTTGATTTACAGTTTTTATTTTTGAAGGCGTGAAGATGTGCAGTATCCAATTAAAAAACGATGAATCAAATTATTTTACATGATAGAAATGAAACTAGTTTTTTCAAACAAGCCAACGTTTCGAACCCTTTTTAGGTCCCATGGTCACGGGTGACTGAGATGGTAAAGTCGTCAACCAGTTATGTTTCATATTAATGCGAACCACTCTATTTTCCACTATTGTTACAAAAGTTATTAATTAAATACCTTATTTTTTAAATTTCCAAACAAAACATTCTAATTTACGCAACACGTGTTTACACATTTTTTTAAATAAATTTATATTTATTATTAAGTAATAATGATAATAAGAACCAATTAAAACATAATTAGTACTGGAATCTTATGTCCACTTGCTACTTGGGATTTTTCAGCAGAGGAAATACTTTACCATCTGAGTCAACTATGACCATGGGATCTGTCAAGGGCCTGAAACTTTGGTTTGTTTGAAAAAACAAATATACGCGACCTGAAAAACTAGTTTCATTTCTTATATTGTGTAACAATCGCAAAAACCTAAGAACTCCATATTTTACGTATTTTTAAGAAATGCGTTTCATGTTCGATTGACCTTATTTAACTTACTTTACGTAAATAAATTCTTTTATTTAAACTAAATAAGTCTTCTCATAGTAAAATACGTAATTTAAACATGTTAGTTGACAAACAGAATTGTAATATAGTAAATATTAAACAACGAGACGTTAAAATATTTCAAAAAAAGTGCAGTAAACACTTGAATATGCCATAGTGAATCAATTTCATTCTGTAATGTAACAAAACATTTTACCACTCTAGAATGATAAACGGCCACTTTAAATTACCGGCTCTAATGTTGAAAATCAACATAGGGTTGGTTACATCGGAACAGGGTGTTTGAAACTATATGCATGGATTATTTTTCAAAAAGGTCGGTTCGTGTAAAAATTAAATTATTGGAGTTGACATCAATTTTATTAAATATTTTGTAAATATCATGAAGGTAAATGTTTTTATGAACAGGTAATATTTAGAAAATTGTAACTCATGGAAACGAATGAAAAGGTCTGAGCTCTCCGTACATTTTTTGCGTTATATAAAATAAATAAGGAATTGAAAAAGGTATATCAGAAATGCAGTAGGTCCGTAGTCTCTGCTTACCCCAGTCATGATGCAGATGAGGGCAGGCATGATGAAATATAATATCATACCTTATATAAATATAATATCTTATCATTTTATATTTTTGTCAAATATGTTCATTTAAACTGTGTTTTTAAATAATATAAACCATTGACCAACAAACAGAGGTATTCTATTAAACTTTTGTGAATAATTGCCACCCCTGCACAATGGGTCGACACACAACGTACGCCCGCCAAAATAATTGATTAAACGACATCACATTAAGGTAATGATTGCATATGTTACGTTTTTGTCTGGGTGTCGCTAACCAGTAGTACCACTAGTAGTTTTATTACGAATTGTGGTGATTTCTGTTATTTCCATAGTGTTATTACGACGCCTTGTTTAATGGCCCATAATTGTATTAACACAGAATAATTCGTTATATTTGGAGCAATAAACAGGAATTGGTTTTGTTAGTGACAAATCAATAGATGCGTGATTGTGTGAATGTAATTGGATAAACAACATTCATGTCTCCAAATAATCATCAAAAACTTTACTATTTTTTAAATGTTTAGTTATTAAATAGCAGAGCCTGGTGTGGAAAGGCAACTTAATTTAAATTAAATTGAAATGTGTGTGCAATTTTTTATACTTTTATTTTAATTTTTATGTTTATATTATTTTGTTTCATTTCAATTTACAATTTTAATGTAATTTTATTTTATTTTGATATCCAATTTAATGGTTTTTTATTGTATTTACATTTATAAGTATTAAACTGTGTAAACTAACATAGTACCTAAGGTTTCTGTAGAACTAACACGTGGACTTATGTTGTCTTTAACAAAAAAACTATTATTATTATTAATACCTCCCAATGCTGACTAGAGGTCTCCTTTAAGAAGACGGTTCAAGCCCGCCACGCTAGTCATACGGTTTGGTAACTAAGGTGCAGTGTGCCGTGTGACGCCTCCAGGGTCTATTCATTAACCCGAATTTCCGATCACTGGGAAAAATTACTAACTAAAACGGACTGACTAAAGATGACCAGACTAACGTCTTTCGAGCGTCAGCGTCTTCGACGTCATCGACACGACGTCTACGCGGCGGCCACGCAACGCCAGAGCGGCGTATACCCTGGGAAAAACTGCTTATTTTTTAAACATTTAAGCGTTGTAGCTTAAGCGTCTAAAAAAGCGTGCTTTTTTAGACGCTTTTTAGTTTGAAGCTTAAAAAATCGTTTACAAAAACGCTTAAGCGCCTAGACTTTTATGTTATACAAAAACATATAAATCTCGCTCATATAACGCAGACAAACTATCTACCAAGAAAAAAAATCAGTTCGAGTCGCGAAAAAAGACGATTAGTTCCGAAACAAGTGCACACATGTGCATCTCCCTTGGGTATGGAATCGACCCCCGGACGAAATCAACACCATATGGTACATTGTAACGGATTTATAATTACCACTGTATTTTGTATTAAAAAAATCTCAAGTGGAGAGTAGTGAGGCCTGATGAGCACCCGTGAGGACCAGTGATGACAGCTGAACCGTGAAATGGGGAATGTGATTAATACGATGTAAGTATGTTAGAGTTTCGATAAATAATTAGGGACCATCCATGCGATGATTTCGCAACGTGCATCAATTTCGATAAGTACGAAGTTTTGGCAAAATTCGTTAGGACGAATCGACGATTTTCCTTTTTTTTTATTGTATCTTTACACAGATATGTGTTTGTTTTTTTTTATTGGAGAGTGCTGTGTACTTTGTACTGAGTACTTTGCTCGTTTATTTTATTATTAATTTATAACGTTGTCCTATTAATGTTATTAATATATCTACCATAATTTTAATTGCAAATATCCCTTCCTCAAATTAGTTAAAACCATGTTAAAAGTATATAAATTCAATAATTAATAACAACGCCTGACAATTTTTTCCGGCAATTTCGCAGTACGTCGCGTAGTTTGTTTATAACTTTTTATGATTACATTGACAGGATTCAGGAAATTAGCCACTTCTTTTGCAATCGTAGTCTCAAACTATCGACAAGATGCCGTTTAGGGCGGTGCTACATAGTTTCAATTCTCTTGTAAGGAGTAGAATTATGGACATTAACGGAGACGTTAACGTAAACAGTTAGAAGTCTTCGAAATGGTTTTGTAGATTTTGAAAATATCGTAGACGGATAGTCACCAATGACAACGTATTGCGGAGGATGAACCAAGCTGCAGCACTTCGGGTACATCATGCGGAGTGATAAATACCCTATGCTGCAACTCATTCTGCAGGGAAAAATCCAGAGCCGCAAAAGGCGTGGTCGTAGAAAAACCAAATGGCTTCAAAATCTTGCAGAGTGGTTCAACATAAGTACCGCAGACCAGTAGTGCGATTCACGTAAGTTCAAGCTATCAAAATATCGTTGAAGTTACGTAGTCGTTCGATCGAAGTCCCATCCAAAATGGGTATTTACATATCACTTGAACGAACGTTGATATGAGTAGAATCGAAACGTAACGACTAAAGAACGACATCTTGGATTGTGAAATTTGACATTTAGTCGTCGAAAGTCTATTGAAAGAACTGTCAAAATTTTAGCAGAATACGTATGACTTGTCGTTTAGAATCGATTTAAATTCGGTTCATGTACCAGAATACGCTTTAACGACATTTGGATCGAA